ACAGGAAGGACATCAGCGTCCTAACCTTGGCTGGAACTGATAGAAGCGAGAAGGCTTTAAAAGCAGGGACAAAGAGCAGGAGAAGGGGGAGGGACTCTCCTAGGATGACTGGTGCAGCCATTGGTCACTGGCTGTTGCTGGGCAGAATGTGCCAGAAGGGCCTCCCTGAAGGAGATTGGACAAAAAAAGCTTGCCCGAAGAGAGGGCCAATCAACAGGGGCCAGTCAGTTAAGGTTTAAAGAGACCAGTCAATGTAAGTCAGCTAGGTTTGAAGGACCCTATCAGTGTTTGCCAGCAAGGTTTGGGCAGTAGACAAGGTATAAAAGCTCCAGCCCAGCTGCCTCCAGGACTCCTTCCACTGTGTTGGAAGCTTTTCCATCCTATAATCAACCTTTGCTCTATCACTTCTGCTTGCCTGTGGTCTGTGAATTCATTCTCCCATTCCTGAGACCAAGACCAGCAGCCAGGGGAGGAGGGGACAGACTCTGAGGGCATAGCTTGGGGCTTACCGAAGATCCCAAGAGTTCAGACCACCCGAGGGAGAACGAGGACCTCATACTGGTTGCCCCTAGCAGGTCCTGGTTAAATGTGAGAAAATACAAATTGAACAGGCATGGTTCTACAGCAGTGCCACACGGGTTGTGGAATTGGTTAGGCAGGGGAGGGAGAAGCCGGGGCTACAACCCCCAACTCCTGGTGGGCAGAAGGATGGAGAGCAGGGAGAGGAAATCTGCTGAAAGGGACAGTGACACCAGAGCTGACATGAGTGTGCAGCCAGCCAGGACAAGCTACAGGCCCCTGAACTCACATTTCTCTCTCCCTCCAGGCCCAGTGCTGTGTGCAGACTGGATAGCGTTTTGGACCTTTAGTGCAAGCTAACTGTAAACGCATCAGTTCTTAAAGCCCTTGTCCCATTTCACCTGAGTCCAGTTCAGCATGTCACTGGAGCTGGTCTCTGTGACCAGCCAGAGACCCAGAGTGAAGTGAGACCCATTGAGAAAGGCCTCACAGCCACAGGGGACTTACCTCCTGGGCAAACCAGCAGGGCTTGTCCCTGTGCAGCCAGTCTGCTAGCCTGGCCTCGGCTCCATGGCCTCCAGAGGCTGCCAGGATGGTGGTGGCAAAACCTGGTCCCCAGTCTTCCTCTCCTCTGCCCCTACTCCTCCCCAGCTGCCTTTGGCCCACAGAGGATTGAGGCAAGAGGAGGCAGCCCCCGTGTGCAGGCTGCTCCCGGGGGCATCTCTGTACCAGAAACCTTCTGTGGCCCTCTACTCAGTCCTCCTAGTGGGTCTGTGGGAAGGGTGGTGTGAAGGGCTGAACCACCTCCTCCTTCCTATGTGAGAATATGTGAGAAGGTTACCTTGGGTTCCTGGGGAGCCACATGTGCATTGCTGGGCAGCAGCAATGGCTGGAGTCCTGCAGGAAGCACCTCCAAGGCGCAGCAGCTATGGCTGCCTGTGGCTGCCATGTGAGTGTATATCTGGTGTCCACTGAGGCCCTGCAGCTCCCAGAGCGGTAGGCCCCTTGGAAGCCAGCCTGTCCCCAGCAGGGGCCTTGGAAGCCACGCCTAGGACTGTAGGGAGAAATGCTGGCTCCTACCAGGGACTTGGGATGTGGAAGCAGGGCCACTACCGTACCTGCCTGAGTGAACCTCATTTCCTCCATCTACGCTGCCTCCTGGGGGACCCAAGAGGATGGGTCCTGGCCCCAGTCAGCTATAGTGACTCCTTTGAGGACAAGCCCCACAGAACGAAAAGTCAAAGAGCTGACACTTCTGCAGGCAGCCAGGGTGGCCAGCGGGATGCTGTGGCTCCAATTGTCCAGCTCATATCCTCTTGTCAGCGTTGCATGTGCAGTGTCACCCATTCCTCAGAGCAGCAAGGAGTGGCCAGGCTGGGAGTGACTGAGTGGGTCTGAATTCAAAGCCAAGGCTGTTTCTGTCACACATGGTCTGCATGGCAGAGCTGGGCAGACTTGGACACTGCACTTCCCCTTGCAGAAGGACAGGGACCACCCTCCTGCTTGTGCCTGCAGGGGCACACAGCCACAGGAACGGAGACGTGTGGCACCTCTAGGACTCCTGCCCACAGAAGTTAGGGCAGAAATGCTCCTGTGTCTCCCAGCCCCGAGACATGGGCATGCTCTTGTCCCACTCACTACATGCTCCCATACTCCCATCATGCCTGGGCTGCTCAGATGCCTATTTTTTTCAAGCATATTTGGTCACTAAGTGTTGGTAAGTCACAGGAGCTGGGCCAACAGGTGCTCTGGGATTTGGATTTCAAAAGAGAAAAGGTGCTTCCTGGCTGTCCTGATGTGAGTTTTCTTAGAGCCCCCAAATCCTTTGGTGTGGTGTGGCAGCCTCCCTGGCTGGTGGGGCCCCATGGAGGGTGCAGTGTCCTTCCATCTGTGGATTTGGCCTCATGAGAACTGTCAGCTCCTCTGTCAGGTACCATCCCCCTGAGGTTCCTTCAGCAGCCTGAATTTAATCATTTCCCTTTTGTGGTAAACATCTTTCTCAGGATTTTTCCTGAGAAGGAATAATCTTCTGACCAACAAGCAGAGCACGGAGACGTCCTTGCCTTCTGCCAGGTGTCCCAGCACAGACGTGGCTGGCCTCCTCTTCACATCCACAATCTTCTTCACTCCATCTGACTCCAATGCTTCCCTTCCAAAGTCTAGGAGAAGACAGTCATGTGAGCAGATGCTTTCCTTCGGGGGTGCCCCCACCCCACTCATCCCAGAACAATAGGAACATGAGCAGGGAGCAACTTCTGCAGGAATGTCCTCTGGGAAGACCGTCTCTGGCTGGTGCCTGGCCCTCTATGGCTGCCCATCCATTCTCTGGGGAGGTCTCTGACACCCTGAAGAGAAGATGCTCCCAGCTCCGTTCAGGGATGGCTCAGCAGGAAGGGCTCACTTTCTCCTCCTGGGGTAAGAGTGGGACCCAGTGTCAGACTCCTGTGGAAGGAGCCTTATCCCGCAGCTTCCCTGGGCATCGCTCCAGCACCTCTTCCTTGACAGCCCCTTGCAAATTATAACTAAGACACAAGACAGGCCCAGGTGTACGTTAGGTGGTAGCTGTGTCCACTTTCTCAATCCTCATTCTGGGTGGCCCCAGGGAAGGTCATGCTCTGGGACTTTTGCCAGGTCACACCCACAAAAGTGACAGAGCCTTCAGCTTCCCCTTGGAAATGTGCGATCCCTAAAGTCTGCTCCTCCATGCTGGGCAAAGCTCCAGCCCCTCATCAGAGTCTTGCTTTATCTCTCTGGGCTCCAGCTGCTGAAGCCAGCTGAGCAGAAATTCAGAGGTTTTGCTGACTGGGGTGAGACTTGGGGTTCAGATCACAAGGACATTTGCACATTGCTCCATCAGACAGACTCCGAGATGAACACAGCATGGTATGTGGAGATCTATGTACACGGGGTAGAGACGGTGTCCGACTAGGCACACATCCTGGTCAGGGGAGGCACTCGGCATGGAGATGAGGATGTAGGCCTGGCTCTGAGCCAGACCTTGCAGTGGCTCTCTGATCCCTTGATTTCTGGTAATTGCACTTGGTTTCCTGGAATCCAGGTCTCTGCCCCTTTGCACTCTTGAAGGTTCCACAGTTGGGACACAGATGTGGCGCTGAATGTGACAAATCCCCATTGTCCCTGCAGAGTTCTTACCACCTGCATTAGCCAGGACACAGTTACACATCCAAAGGCCTCTCTGTAAAGCTTTTGTCAAATATATAGGAATTTTGTTTGCAGTCTCTGGGGTTTTGAATAGCTTGTTTCGCTGAATTTTGGTTTGATTGGGGTTTGGGTTGCCATAGGGACTCAGTTTATTCCATAAATTCTTTTTTTATCCTGTAAGATTAAAAAAATAATTTGAAATGACATAAGAACCAAAGGTTAAAATAGCTAGTGGAGCCCTTGGCTTATGTGCCCTCCCCCAGCTCTGGCTAAGTCCCTGAAGGACCTTCCCCCAGAGTCCAGGGAAGCAGCAGCAGCAGGGGTCAGATCCCTTGTCCTCCAAAACCCACCAACACCACCCCCCTGCCCCGTGACCTTCCCCACATCTCATCATATGGAACTGAATGTAAATTGCCCTCTAAGACCTGAGGTCAGCCCTTTACTCATTTCACAAATGTTAGATAAATACCTGCCACATGCCCAGCAGTGGCCCAGGTACTGGGGCGGAAGGTACCAGACCAAAGCTCCTGTGGGCAGGGGTGAGCCTCAAGGACATTCATGAGGCCATCAGGCAAGGGTCCAGCATCAGAGGTCAGCTTGAGGGGTCTAGGCAGCTGGTGGGCATCCCTGGAGCTCAGAGATGAGCTGATGCCCCTGCTCCTGGGCTGGTTTCAGGGGCAGAACCCTAGAGACTAGGGGTCCTGGCAGAGCAGGGAGAATGTGGACGGTCTAGGTGCCAAAGTAGGGACTTGGGGTGGGAGCTGGATCTGGGGACACACAGAGCGCAGTTGTCAGAACAGGACTAGCTGGGGATGTCCCTAAGCACAGCTCAGGCATCAAACCAGGAACATAATGGGGTGAGGTGTAGGGAGATGGGTGGCTTTGTGCACAAGCCCCCTGCACAGTTTGCATGTAGGTTGTGCTCTGGCTCCATGGGCCCTGTACCCATCATCCACCTGCTTCTGTAGCCCCTGGCCCTGGAGCCCCCTCTCTCTATACCCTACAAAGGATTTACTGGGGCACAAGGCAATAGGGAGCATCAAGGTCTAAAGACAAACTGAAAAGAACCTTTGGAACAAAACAGAAGCCTCTTCTGTGGGATGAAAATGCATAGTGGAGTTTCTTGTTTACAGAGCTTTTCTGATCCCCACCCCCAGGGGTGAAACTCCTTAGAAACCCAGGGCAACCAGGACCATGAGCAGGAAAGCTGAGTCATCGACCCAGGGCCACCTTCACAAGGAATATCACAGGCAGAGGTTCGGAGGAATCCTCCTTTTTTCAGAAAATTGTCATTTTTATCAGTGAAAAGGAAAAGATACCAACCCGAGTTCTTGGCTCACTGAAGTCATCAAGGCCACAGAATGAATGCTAGTGAGAAAAACAAAAAAAGGAACAAAAACTATAAAATAAGACCAAAAGAAAATGAGGAAAAGAAAAGAAAAGAAAAAAGATGTAAGATATGTAGTATGGAATTCAATGGCAGCATTTTATAATAACTATGACACTGGGGCTGGGTTCAGAGAGAGAGAAGCAGGAAGCAAACAGGCTTCAGGGCTGATTTCCCCCGGAAAACCTGGCCAGGGTATGTCTGTTTGCTTCCCTCGTGTCCAGCTAACTCAGACAGGGGAGATCTACACTGTGGACAGGACGTTTTGGTGCTTAGATGAAGCTCCCTTGTAGAGCCCGGGTAGGCCAATATAAATAGAGGAAGGATCCTCTGATAGTCAACGGCTAGTGGTTCCCTCCAAAAGACCAGGGGTGCACAGCAGGAATCAGGGGGTGATTCCACTCAAGGTCGCCCTGTCCAGCTTACAGATAACAGCCCTTTCTCCTACACCATCCCTGCCAGGGTTCTTTCCCCCGAAAGAGTCACTGTTTAACATCTTTTGTGCCATTTCATTAGTCTGCTTTTAAAAAAAAAAAAAAAAAAAAAACAGCAGGGGAAAATGCCCTTAAAGGAAGGAAAAACTATACTTGTCATCTTAAAAGTAGAATTTTTTTTCTTAATGTTTTAAACTTGCTTTGTTCAAAGAGACTTGATAGTCATTAGGTGAAATATATTCAAATACCACCCTTTGAAAGTAATCTTTGGGTTTTTGTCCCCCCAAACAAGGTAATATCTCCCCTGTATTATTTATTTAAAAAAGTAAAGTCCAAACAAATAGTTATCAACTCCTAGACAAGGTTTAGTATCATTGGCAGTTAGACCTGGAAGGGGCCCTGTGTATCACCCAGCCCTTCTTCTGCTACATGGAGAAACTGAGGCCTGGAGGGAAAGAATTTGCCAAGACCACCCAGTTAGGTATGCCAGGAAAGAGTTTCTGGCCACAACAAAGGGACTAAGGAGCCACTGACTGGGGTGGCTGGAGTCACTTCCCACTGTCACGGGCCAGCTGTGCCCACGAGGAAATGAAGGTGCATGCAGGCGACATGGAATGGTTTTGGTCCCACAGAACTAACCAAGTGTCCAAACCAGCCAATCCCTCCTGCTCCACGCTCCAGCCTTTGCCACTCCCTTCTGTGACAAAAGGAGACAGAAGTCTACAAACATTTGCTTTTAGAAAAGAGTAAAAAAGAACCAGAAAGACAATTCAAACATTTCCCAACTATTCCCTACTGCTGAGGATAAGTAGTCGTTTTTGTTTTTTTTAAATGAATATGCCTAACTGACTTGACTTTTAATGTTTCAATCAGCAAGAACAACTGTGGTCACATATGAAACCTTTCTTCTCTCATATCTGTCCCTGTGACCCATTTTGCCAATGAAAGTTATCAAGCTGCCTAGGAGGTAGGAAGAGAGGAAGAGCCTACCCTGAAGGCACACCCACCCGACCTGGGCCTCCAGCCAAGACTTTCATATCTTTCATGTCCTTGACCTCATTTAACCCTCAAAAGCACCCTAGGAGACAGAGCATCCTTCCCAGCAGCAGGTGAGAACACCAAGGCCTGGGGCAGAGGAACAAATCCTCCAGGGCCAGAGGGAAGCCCAGGCTCATCTGCCTGCAGAGCCAGCTCATCTCCCATGCAGTTCTTATTAAAGTGGACGATATTTGAGGTCTATTGGGTCCTCAAAGTAACCCTAGGAGGCTTGGGGGCAGTGGATATCTGGCAGGTAGGAACTCAAGGAATCAGCTTAATCGAGGGCTCCCCTGAAGGCGAGTGGGGAAGGTGGGAGAGCCCAGCCCCTGCCTCTGTGTAGATCCTCCAGGCTCTGCACAGCCAGCGAGGCCTGGAGGCTCTGGGCTGAGGGAGAAGGTAACAACCTGCATGAGAGCCAATGCATGAGAAAAAGAAGAGGAAGCATCTGGAACAGATGTGGAGCCTTGAGCCTTGTCCTGTCTCTCTTACCACATTGTGTTTGTTTTCTCCAGGACAGGGAAGGCTGCCCTCCCATTTCTGGACAGCCCTGAAATCTGCCTTCCAGTGACTTCTGGTGACTTTGGCCCTGGTCTGTCCCTGGAATGAATGTGCTACCTCTCTCACAAGGCCTCCACCAGGGGAAGCCCAGAAACGCCCTTGCTCATATTCTCAAGGCTGACACCACACTGCCCCTTAAGGTTCACACTGGGATCCCCTCCTGAGGCAGGTGGGCCCAGTGATCTCCCAGACAGGGTTGGTGACCCTCCATCTCCTTCCCAGATTGTACTCACCTCTGTGACACACAGCATGCATCATGCTTTCTCTCTGTGCTCATCTAGGGCCATTTGTTTGCTTAGCCCACAAACATCTGATGAACCCTATCCCATGGCTAGAACTGTCTTGCATGTCTTCATGAAAGACACTCGGTCCCAGCCCTGTGGGATTCACAGCCATCAGGTGGAGGCAGAGGCAGGGGGGACGCCACTAAGGTGCTGCCTCACCCCCCCCCCCCGCCCCCGAGGAAGACCCATGTCTGCTACATCAGCAGCACGTGGTGGAGTGGGCAGATGGGGTGGCTACCGCATCTGTGAAGGCCCCAGCCACCCTAGCTGTGGAGCCATGGACAGGTATTCAAGTCTATCTCTGCCTCAGTTTTCTCACCCCTAAAATAGTGGCCATGGTAGAGATAAATGAGGCTGGGTAAGACATACCCAAAGGGCCAGTGATTTGGAGCATATAGAAGGCCCTGAAAAGGAATGAATCCATGGGAAACAACATGACCCTACTCAGGGGGATGCCGCTGGCTTTGTCACAGTCTAACATGACGCATCCATCCTAGTGAAGGGGCAAGACACACAGGCTCATGCACACACGCGTGCACACATACACCTGGCCCCAGACAGCAGAATTTCTGACAGCCATGGAGAAGGCAGTATCTTTACCAGGAAGGATTTGAAGGGGATACCTATTTTTAAGAGGTGCTGATTTTGGAGGAGAAAGGCAGAGAAAGGAGGGCTGGAAATGGACCCTATACTTTAGACATTATGACACTGACGATGGGGAAAAATAATTCCACACTAATGTTTCTGGGAAAGAGACCCCATGGACCGTGGCAGCCACCTACCTTTTCCTCCAGTTCCTTTAGGTGCCGCTTCTGGAGTTCAAGCTTGTCCTCCAGCTCTCGGACACGCTGAAACACATCAGGGTAAGGATCAGAAACTAAGTAAGTTTTCCAGGTTCAAAACCACATTCTCCAGTTTCTACTGTGGTCTAGCACAGAAGTGATAAAGGACACAACACTGAAAGGGGAGCAAGCTCCGTGAGTCCCAGGTGTGTGCACGCCTGCATCACCACCACCCACAGGGGTTAAACGCTACCACTCACGGGGGCTTGTACCTGTTCTTGAAGCTCACGGAAGTAGAATTCTGCAGTGCACACCCTTAAATGGGATTTTTAAAAATATAAATATAAAGACTGGACCAAAACATATAGGCCTGCCGAGCCAGCAAATAAAAGTGTGGACTTAATGTGATGCAAAATTAACACGTTTGTCCAAGATTTATTCAGGTGCAGCCTGGGAGCTGGGGGAGTGAAGGGGGCAGAAGAAGCAAATGCTGGAGGTGACAACCACCCTCTTGGAACCCCATAGGGCCGGAGGCACCAGGATGACCAACTGCCCCCATTTGCTTGGGACTTTGCTGGTGTTAGCAACAGAAGTCCTGAGTTCCAGGAAACCCTTTCGTCCCAGGCCAACCAGGAGGGTTGGTCACCCTGCTTGGCCCTGAGCTTGTTGAACTCCCCTTGGGACACTCACATGCCCAGGTGATTTATCAATCATTCCTTTAAGCCCACCCAGGGGGGAATCTGGTAAATTCCTATATTTTTCCAGTTCACATGCCTAGGATAGTTTCCCTAAACCCCCGGTGTAGGGACCGCAGGCAACTGCCTAAAGGGCTACAGCCCTTACCAGCCCTGATCTGGCTGGAGACCTCCTTCACTGGGAGGGCAACCAGACTGGAGCAAAACATATAGACACCCTGAGAAGACAAATACAGAAAGTGGATTTGAGGTGACACCAAATCACACATTTCTCCCAGGGCTGGAGATCCATTCGGGCTGTGCCCCAGGATATAGGATAGCGCTTGAGACATAGACCTTAGAAAAGTTTAAAACAGAACGGAACCCAGTGGCATGACATTGAAAGAGGTGGGCAGTGCAGGTGTGGAGGTCAGGATGGGTTGGAGAAGGTTCTGAATATCAGGCTAAGCAACCTAGACTTTGTCCTCTGGGCACCAGGGAGCCACTGAGAGTGTCTGGGGAGGGGCGTGGTGGTGGTGGTGCTGTGTCAATAAGGCTTGTGCAGGAACAGAGGAAGTGGGGAGGGGATTGCAATCACGTAGCACCCCAGCAGGTGTCTTTGAAGGCCACCTGGGGCGAGGACATAAGGGCAGTGTTACTGAAAGCCTCCGAGAGAGAGTCAGGACAAAGTGGTTTCATACCCAGGATTTGACTCCAGCCTTCACTCAGGCAGAATGCTTTGCAAATGTGCAGAATCATTCTGTTGGGAAATGTGCCACCAGACGATGGATTCTTTCAAATCCTCTTTCCCTGTCTACTAATTGGATTGAATAACTGATGCCAGCTAAGAGTGTGTCACCGCATTCTGTGGGCCGGATGAGGAGAAATGCTATAGTTACATCCCGGCAAAATGGGAAGGTCCATCCAGTGCAAAGCAGGTAGGACAGAAACAGGGAGAATGTTAACAGAATGCTGGGCTGTGCTGTGCTGAGTTGAAGGAGTTGAATGAATGAATGTTACAGACTGTTGTTAAAGTGAAAGTGACAGAATCCATATGCTGAGTCAGAAAGGCCAAGTGCAGCGAACGTCAGCTAATATTCGCTTACTTTACAACAGAAACTTTTGAGCATTTTAGATAACTTCTCCATGGATCACATCCCCCTAAGATGAGTACTGTGGCTGTTCCCACAGCACTTCCCACAGTACTGTGGCTGTTCCCATTCTTCATAGAGGGGACACAACTTGCCTCAGGTTACATCATCAGTGGGGACATGATAAGAATCCACACCTGCCTGACCTAAGAGCCCATGCTCCTAATGCTGCCTCACTGCTGTCCACAAATGATTCAGCATTTTACACTATTTTTGTGTAAAAATAGGAGTGGATAATCACTGTAACTCATGTTTGCAGGTTTTGCAATACTCTTTTGAAGATAACAGATTTCTGAAGACTGTAAGTATCAAATGATAGCAATTTGCAAACAACTGAATATGATTAAAAATTATAGCTGTTAAAAAACATAAAACATCTCCTTAAGCACAATGCACCTGTTCCCACCACAGGGCCTTGTCCTCGCTGCTCTCCCTGCAGGACAGCTGAGGGCCACCACCCCATACCGCCTCAGCCCGTGCCGTTCTCTGGCACTCTCAGTGTGTGCTCAGGTCTTGCGCATCCCCCTCACTAGAGTCTGTTCACTGCTCCATCCCAAAGGCCACGGCTGTGCTCACTTCCCAGTTGCTGCAACTCCCAAGGGGTGTGTAAGGAAAATCTCCCCTCTGCCCAAGAGTCCACTTAGACGACCTACTTCTAGCAAATCTGCTAACAGAGGTGGCACCTGTAACTCAGTGGGCAGGGTGCTGGCCACATACACCAGGGCTGGTGGGTTTGAACCCAGCCTGGACCAACTAAAACAGCAATGACAACTGCAACAAAAAGAAAATGGCCAGGTGTTGTGGCGGGCATCTGTAATCCCAGCTACTTCAGAGCCTGAGGCAAGAGAATCACTTAAGTTCAAGAGTTGGAGGTTGCTGTGAGCTGTGATGCCATGGCACTCTACCCAGGGCGACAGCTTGAGACTTTGTCTCAAAAAAAAAAAAACAAAAATCTGCTGAAGGAGGGATCCAGTGAAAGAGACAGATTCCTAAGTCTGAGCATCTCTGATGAAGGCAGCGAGATGCTGGCAGGGGGCCCTGCTGCCCGCTACTGTGGCACTCAGTAGGGAGGGACAGTGAGAATGGGCCAGCGTCATGACCTGGTCACTTACTCTGGGAGGGCCTGGCTGAGCTTTTTCACCTGTAGCATGATATTAGACACTCTGTCTGGAGGTAAAGCTGCTCAGAACGACCCACAGTCGACCAGGAAACCCACAGTCTTGGGAAGGTAAGGGAGGAGGTGGAGCAGTTTCCCTCAGCCAGGGAGGCAGGAGGAGGTGGGAGGGGAGAGGGAAGGAGAATTCATTTTCTTATAAAACGAAAAGAGCAATGAGGACCTTACACTCCTCTATCACTCATAGCCATGTATCTATAAGAATAACTAAAATTTAACAACTGTAAGTTACACAGAAATCATCTGCTGATCTTACTGTGGCATCTGACTCAGGAGGTCCGGGCTGGGGCCTGAGATCCTGCATCACACGGATGCCACTGGCAAGGTATGATGAGCCCCACTTTGAATGGCCCAGGTAGACAGCACACGACCCTGGGAATTGGTGTCCATGTGTCACTATGTAAAGAGTCTTCCTTTTTTGAACACCTACTATGCACCAGGCCAATTGATTTGCACATCATATCTCATTAAAGCCTCAAAGCAATGTCTTACCGGGTGAACTTACTGATTCGGCTTACATGTACGTGTCAGTGTGTTTACATAAAAGTGAGATCAAGGCAGTTTTAATATTCAGGGGGAAGAAGGGGTATCTGCTAATTACCTTCTGGAGAATTCTCAACTAACTTTCTATACAGGCTGCCCTCTACACACATCACGTGAGATTTGAATGTTTGGGCCCAAACACACAAGTGCGGTTCTGCTTTGAACTCAATTTCCCAAACACAAAACCAATCCCTCCATTTACTGCACACTCAGGCAGCAAGTCTTGACAAGGAGGCCCAGTGCTGGGCGTTAGATATCAGCTCGTGCCCGCTGCTCCTGCTCACCCTGCCCACAGCCTATACCCAGCAAGGACCACAGCAGCCTGCACTTACCAAGAGTGACTGATATCAGGGCGGTGATCAACAAACCTTGCACTATCCCAGTGAGGCAGGTGTTATTATCATCCCCATGAGGAAACTGAAGTCCAGAGAGGTAGAATAATTTGTCCAAGGCCACATGGCTAGTCAGTGGGACAGTGGGAGTTCAAAGTCAGGCCATCCTGCCTGGCATCTGTGTTTTCGGCCTCTTTGCCCACTCTAAGCTGACCTCGCCACACAGTTCTGCTGCCTGGCATGCTTGTCCCCTCTGATGGCAGTGATGGGTAACGTGTGTCAATTTGGCTAGGCCATAGTACCCAGATACTTGGTCAAACATTATTCCAGATGTTTCCCTAAAGAGATGTTTCAGATGAGATAAACATCTAACTCAGTGACTGAGTAAAGCAGACACCCTCCATAATGTGGGTGGATCTCACCTGACCGGCTGGAGAGACAGAATGACCTCCTGCGGAGGAAGGGGTGCTGCCAGCAGACAGCTTCCAGACTCACCCTGCAGCCCTTCCCTGGCTTCCCCCCGCCAATCTGCCCTGCAGATTTTGGACTTGCTAAGCCTGTACAATTGCATGAACTAATTCCTTAAAATAAATCAACCTTTCTCAGTCTCTCTGCCAGCCCCCCACCTGGTTTGCTCCTTCTGAGCTATCTTTTCTCTCCAGTAACCTAGATCCTTCCCTGCTGGTAGGATTCCTTATGGGCCTCCCCAAAGCCTCAGTTTCCTCATCTGGAAAATGGACCTAATAATTCTTACCCTCAGGGGTAACATGAGCTAAAGGCTCCACAGTGCAGGCGTCTCTGCCCGATACTTGGTGAGTGCCCAACACAGGCCCTGTGGGCTGCCACCCCTCTTCTCTCGTTGTCACTCTGGAGTCTTGAAGCCTCACTCCCCATGTGCACAGATGCACACGAAACTCATCAAGGACATCAGGCCTTGGAAGAGACAGGTTTTCAGAGTCACAATGGTATTGCTTGTAAGCCCAATCCTAAAATTAGCCACCATCCCAAAATACAGCTAGAAGCAAACTGGCTCCTGGCTACAGGCATCTGACTCTGAAACTGAATAGGGTACTGGAGGGCGCGAAGGGAGAGAGCCAAGGGGAGAACCAGCTGTGCTTGTATCATTTTAATGTCTGCCCAACACGATGCCCAATGCCACATGTCCTCTCCTGTCACCGGGAGGGAATGCACCTGAGGGTATGAGCCTGCTTCACAGAAACCTGTTTTGCAGCCACCTCTCTGCTGACTGTGCCTGAGAGGCCCAGAGGCCCTTCAGAGTTCTGGGTGCTCACAGGGACCTCGAGGGGGCCGTGGGCTGCAGAGGAGCGGTGCCTACCTGCTGGGCCTGCTGCAGTAGCTCCATGCGCTCCCGCAGGATCTGGCTGTCGAACTCGCGGCTCTGCCTCAGGATCTGCCTGCGCACCTTCTCCACAGCTGCCTGCAGGTCCTCCCGCTGGCCCACACTCAGCGCCTCGCCCGCCTTCCGCCCGGGCTCCTGTTGCAGCGCCGTGTACAGCGTGGCCTCCAGGTCCTGGATTTTCTGAGTGGCCCAAATCACACAGACAGATGATGGCCACAATGAGCAGGCCAGTGACTGCCAAGGGGCTGCAGCCGGGGCAGGCAGAGCTGGGAGGGGAGGCGTGCAGGGGCCAAGGGAGCGGCTAACAGTCTTGGGCTCGGGTGGTGTGGGTGTCCCTCAGCCCCGTGCACATAGTATCAAGAACCTTTTTGCTCTGTTCAACCCAAAAGCCCTCTTCTATACAAAAGTGGACATAGACAAAAAGAAGAAATAGTCATAGCCTCCCCTGAAAATGTGCGACTCAAACTGATTTGATTATTTTATCTTTGGCTTCTGCTTCACTCACCTACATTGGCGACAAATCTCCCCTGTTCTGATGGGAACCCAGTGGGAAGGCATGTCTCAGTTTGCACACATCTGGTTTTCAGCTACACTAACAATGATGCGACTTTAGTTCAAAGAAAATACTGACAATGTTTTTATTACCACCTTCCCTCCAGAACAAGACAAGCTTTATTAGTAAAGCTAAATGGGACATTAGTGGCCAGTCCTATGAAAGTGCCAAGTTTTAATCATTAAGGGATGTTACTTCTTTTCAACTCCACAGCAAAATATTTAGCTATCATTACCTTATAAGTTTATCCAGAGGGGGTGCCCATAGTTCAGTGGTTAGGGTGCTGGCCACATGCACTGGGCCTGGTGGGTTCAAACCCAGCCCAGGCCTGCTAAACAAAAAAAATAATAAAAAATAAAAAGCTGTGGAGTTGTGGCAGGCACCTGTAGTCTCAACTACTAGGGAGGCTGAAGCAAGAGAATCACTTGAGCTCAAAAGTTTGAGGTTGCTGTGAGCTATGACACCACAGCACTCTACTAAGGGAGACAAAGTGAGACTCTGTCTCAATAAAAAAAAAAGTTTATCTAGGCTGGGCATGGTGGCTCATGCCTATAATCCTAGCATTCTAGGAGGCCGAGGCAGGTAGATTGCCCTGAGCTCAGAGGTTTGAGACCAGCCTGAGCCAGAGTGAGACCCTGTCTCTACAAAAAAGTGCCGGGCATTGTGGTGTGTGTCTGTGGTCCCAGCTACTTGGGAGGCCGAGGCAAGAGAATCTCTTGAGCCCAAGAGTTTGAGATTGCTGTGAGCTATGATGCCACAGCACTCTACGGAAGGCCACAGAGTGAGACTCTGTCTCAATAAATAAATAAATAAATAAGAGAAAAATAAAATTAAAAAAAAAAACTTGAAACTAAGACAATTAAAAGCAAAATTACAAAAACATTTTTTAAAAAGTTTATGTACGGACAAAAGAGAGAATGGCCCCCTTTTGTGCCTCTCTCTAAATCCCCACCCACATTGCCTGCTAAAGAGCAGCTACTTCTCTTGGAAGGGATGCCAGGTGACAAAGCTGAACGGTCAGTGTGATGGAAACTGCCACCGAGGTAAGGGTTAGCCAGCAATGCTCGGTCACAGCAGGCTGCCTGCTGGCTCTTTAAGTCTCCTCTGCCTTCTGTCACCTTTGTCTCTGCTGCCTCACTGTGGGTCCCCCTGTGGGCTGCGTGTCGATCGGGAGCTTGCTGGTACCTGGTGGCTCACCCCTCTCCATTCAGTGGCCAAGTTCCTAAGAGACCCCCCTGTAGCCAATTCTGGATGGAAACTCGCTTGTAAAAAATATCAGGAAAAATACCTTATCCCAAATTTCCTAGTAATAGTTAAAGATCAATCCCATGAGTTCTCTCAGTTACAGATACCCTGCGGAATTCTGTTTTGTACAACTTCTAAAAGAGCTGAACAGACAGAAAAGAGATATAAATCTTTCTCTTTAAAACTGTTTTTAAGAATCTGGTTTTTTACAGAGTTCTTGAGTGAACAGCAGAGGTCCCTGCCCAGAACTCTATCTGGGGGCAGGAGTCACACCTCCAGTGACAAAGCCCTCTCCAAGGAAAGGCAGGGGAGCCTAGTCTTAGAGTTTGACATCCTGTCCCAGCTTCTATCATCTGACAGCAACCACTATTTTTCTTTCTCTTTGTTCCCCTTAAAATCAGCAGGCCACTGGTCTCAGAGCTGGCACCTCCCTTCTCTTTCTTTAGTTGGCCATGCAGCCCCTTCTCTCTTCTCCCCTTCTCTTCCACTCTCTCCTCTGAGAAGATAAAATAATTTTTTTGACTTGTATGTCCTAATCTCTGTGTGAGAAATTTTTCTCTGCCTGCTCCATGAGCTCCTTGTGACTTTACAGACCCTAACAGAAAAGTTCGCACCTCCCATTCTGATCCTCCATGTCCCCAGTTCCTGGCCCTGTGGATTACAAGCCTCAGAGCCTCAGTAGGCAGGGCCAGCGGCCTGTACCAGGCTCGGGACTCTGCTGCTTGTCTGTGTTAAGCCCAGGCTGCCTCCTGTCAGTCTTCCTTGAGCCTCTCATGGAAACTGGGGTTTGAGAGCTGTCTTGTAGTTACTGACTCTGCATTCTTAGGTGTAAATCCATTTTGTAAAATGATTTTAACTACAAATGATCTGTGCAAAGATTTGCTCAAGACTTTGTTTATTACACCCACCTCTTCCTATAAGGAGCAGAGCTGAATTCTCTACTCATCTCAGGGACCACCTAGAGATGTGCATTGTCCCCTCAGCTGCCCCCAACCCCCGCGGGAGAGTCCGTCAGCACCAGGAGCACTGGCTTTGGGCATGAGCACACATGAACCTGGACATCAGCCCACTCTGCCTTCATCACTGGGAAGCCCAGGCACAGTTCTGTGTTCACAGATAGGGCTTCATCACTTTGTTCTGATGATCGGCTGGGGTCACCTCATTGCTTTACCTCTCTGTTCTTTGTGACCAGCTCTTTTTCCTACTTATAGGAAAACTCGATTTAGGACAACTTTTAGAAAAACAGATAAGAAAGACTATTTCTTCCTAGTCATCTCAGTTACTAGAATTTACATTAAATTAGCATATGTAAGAAAATCATCAAACTAACTTTGAATGTTTTTAAAATCATGATTGATCTGGAAAAAGTGACAATGTGTGTGATCATTCTAGCCACACACAGAGATGGCACTTTTACCACTCTGACAGGGCTCTGGGGAGCCTCCTAAATGTGTTTTAGCCCCAAAGGGCAAAGCAGCTTCTAATGTTGAGTCTAAAGAGCCAAAGCGTCCAACCCACTTCCGGTCCTACCAGGTAAGCCTGGTCAAGGGCTTGCTTCCTGTAGTCGAGCTCCTCCTCCAGGTAGCCCTTCTGCCTGCTGAACAGGTCCTGAGAAAGAGGGAGGCGCCTGTCAGGGACGAGGTTCTGCAGGGTAGTCCATGATAGTATAGCCCTTCTGAGCCTTCCAAGCCAGCTACTCACCTTGAACTAAAGAGTGGTGATCTCACCAAACTGGGGATGCTTGGGTGAGAAGGAATGCAGTGGTCTTCCCTACCTGCTCCCTGCCCAGTGCTCCCACGAGACCCTCACTGACCGGGGCTCCCTTCATAGCCACACTGGGAACCATGGGGTCCAGACTATCTGAACACCCCCTGCTCAGATCCCTGACTATAGTGAAGGCAACCACGTTGAACCCAAGCCCACAATGCAGGGGACCCTGGTGGCCCCCAAAGACTGTCTCAGCATTTCCCGGCTCAAGCTGCATCACCCACCTCCCCTGGTTTCCTTCCTACACCTCTGCCAGCGTGCTCTCTCCAGAATGTCAATCTCTTTCTAATACTGCTTGGAGGGATTGGGAGTTGGAGCTCATCTACTAAAGCCACTTCATTTTACAGATGAGGAAAGAAAAGACCGGAGAGGACCAGAGCCTTATCCCAGATGCCATAGTTCAATAGTGGCAGAGGTTGGATTAGAAGCCCAGGCCAGTGGGCTGGAGCACCAGTGTAGGGCTCCTCTCCACCAAACTCTGCTTCTAGGCCTGCACTATTCCTTCCACCTTCTTCTTTCACCTCCCATTTCTACCTAGGGAATCACATCTCCCAACAAGCATTCCCTGACTTCTCCATGCCAGGTAAAACACTCCCTGTCTGCATTGTAGCTCCAGTGAGTACCTACCACCATCGCTCATCCCTGAAGCCCTGGCAAATAACCACCACCACCCTTATCAGGTACCCACGGCGCCAAGCACTGTGCAAAACTGGTCATGCACCTCTTCTTCCATACCCAGCACGGTGCACTGGGATCTCCAGGTTATCACTGAGGAAGCTTGTATGGACAGCAAAGACTTGAGCCCTGTCCGGTTGTCCCTGGAGCCACTGGGGCAAGCACTTCCATGTCAGCTGCTCAGGCTATACTCTCGTGAGCCTATGAGCACATGACTCCACAGGACTGGGAGCTCACTCCTCACAGAGGGGAACAGACCCTGCATAGTCATTAGCAGTGCCTAGGACACAGCAGAGGCTCCGAAAACACATATTAGATGATTGTGTATATCAAAAAGTAAGTAAATGGTTGGTTGATAACTACTCAGAACAATCACTGGAGAAAAAGTAAAATTTGGAAATACATGCAAATAAATAATTACAAAAATATGTGCAAAGCCTTTCTGAAAACTGACGTATCTGAGCTCGTCCCAGGCCCAGAGATCAAGTCTTTACCTTTTCCTTCTCTAGATCGAGCATCTTCTGGGTCAGGGCTGCCTCAGTTCCTTCTATTTGCTTCAGCCACTAGAAAACAGCAGGGACAGGAAAGCGTGCAGCAAAGTGAGAACCTTACCCCTTGGATGTGAAGTCTCATCGTCTGTACAGATCAGCGTCGTCAACCACAGATAGCTACACAGGAGTGGCCTGGGGCATGGACACACACAAACACATGTCTGTGCACGGGCACCATGCAGTTGTGTGTGTGTGGTCAAGTCTGCATGTGCAGGAGGTCGTGGGTATGAGGGTGAAATGTCCGTGTGGGGAGCTTGGATTCAGGGCCTGGCTGAAAGCAAGCATGGACAGCTGGGAGTGTGAGTATTCAGAGCTTGACAGCAGAGCCACTGAGGTCACTGGACGCTTACTCTGTGCTGCACTCAGGACACTGCATCTGACCCCACCATGGCCACACAGGGAATAGATGGCATTTCTCCCATTTTGCAGGTAAAGACATGGAGACTGAGTTAAGTAACTTGTCCAAGGTCACACAGGTAGAAAATGAGGATTTTGAACCCAGCGTGCAGGACACCAAAGCTGCTGTCCTCCCCCACACAGCCAAGTCTGGGCAGTCCAGCAGCCTGGTGGTGAGAGGAGGTGGAATCATGCTTGGGTGGGGGTGTGCCAGGGCGTGAGGTGCAGGTGACCTGGGCAGCACGCACCTGAGTGGCAGGTAAGGGGTGGGGATCTGCCCACACTCCCTCTGGGTCTGGGCAGGGTGTAAGCGCAAAGGCAAGTGCAGACACAGGATGTGTCTCTATGAGAAGCCCACTTTTGAGAGGGGAAGATGTCTGTAGCAAAGGGGTCTGACCAGACCATGGGGAGGGGTGGGGAGTACCACAGGCACCATGTCCGGGTTTGACCATATCTACGAATCTTGCTTTTGCCTCCTGGCTGCTGAAGTCATTAGATGGCATTCCTGCAGCCCGGCCACACTCCCTCAGCCCCTCCGGCTCCTTGCTCTCCTTCTCTGGTGGCAGCTCCCACCCTCAGAGGACACTGCCCTCAGCCTTTACCCAGGCTCCAGCTGCCCCCCAGATTCCACCCTCTGCTGCTCTCTCTGTGAAATGTCGCCCTGCTGCCCAGGACACACCCTGTGACCTGCACATCTCGCTCCAGGGCCTCAGGATGCTCAGCAAGGCTGCTGGCTTCCGCGGTCTCCCAGTGGGGATGAACCTGGGACTGGCTCCATCTCCTCCCCTTTCCCAAACCCACCACTACCTGTCCTCCCCATTGCCACCCCCTGGACCCAATCTCAGCCCCCAGGCTCTTGTCTGACCCCCCATACCCCAAATCTTGCTCTGCTCCAGCTGGCTTGTTCTCTCAAACACATGCACCTACTAATGGAACTACCTGCCCCTGCTCGGAGCCCTCCAAAGACATCCCTTGCTCTTGGTAACAAGGACAAGGCCCCAGACTCAGTCAGTGCTCTCCTCTCCCTGCCCCAGACCTGGCCCCTAGTCATCCCCAACTTCATATGGCTCCTCACATGAGCCATGCCTCCCTTCCCCTCAGGGCTGTCCACTCTGCCTGGAGCATCCCAACCTCTCCCAGCCCCAGTGTCAGCCCCAGGCCTCTACTGATCTAACATCACTCAGCCTTCAGCCCGTGGATTAGCTGTCACCTCCTCTAGGAGGCCTGCCCTGCTTCTTGAGGTCACAGGTCAGCTACTGTCCACAGTGCCCATGCCAGCTATCTCATGAGTGCCTTGTCACGGCACTTGCCTGACAGGAGCTGCTGTGCTGCCCTCCCCCACCAGTTCTCAGAGATGGGGACCACATCTGACTCATTGAACTTTCTTGCTTGGCACACAGCAGACGCCTCATTAACAACTGGTAAATGAAGGTGGCTGGTGAGGGTGTGTGGGTTCACTGGGGTGTGTGCTGGCTCTGCAGAGGGCATGAGAGTTGACCCAGCTCCCTCGGAAGCTCCTCCCTCGCGTCAAAGTTAGCCAGGACCCAAGTGCGAGCTCCTGGGCCGGCACTAGGCACCCAATGCAGCCTTTCCCCAAATGTTGCCAAGAGGATTGCAAGTTCTTAGAAACAGATAAGCATATTTTTGATAAGGAATTACATTTAATTCTTTTTTAATATCCTAATGCAAGTAGACATAAAATGGATGAATGAAAATAGGAAAAATTTCAGTTTTGTATCATAACAAACTAGAGCAGTTTCTGTAGAACACATTGAGATTTTTTTTGTTGTTGTTAAAAAATATGCATATTAGGCATATAAAAAATAAACTTGACAAATCCTTTTCAGTAATTGGGAGCGAATATGAGAGCAGAGACGCTGCCATGAGGCAGCCCGGACCGTGTGAGGTTGCAAATTTAACATCAAGGAGTCCAGCCAGATATGTATGGAGCCCCCGCCACTCCCAGGAGACTTTGTTGGGGTTCTATCATCCCAGGAGGGAGGGGTATCCGGCAGGGGCAGCAAGGGGCACTGAGTGTCCTCTCTGGGACTGTCTGTTTACAGCAGGTCAGGGGCGGGTCTCCGCGTCCTCACACCAGGGCTCATATCCCCTGCAGCTGGTGGGCAGTCTCCCTCTTCCCCCTACAGGGAGGGTCCAAGACCCTGAAGGGGACACAGGGCTCACTACACATATCACGGAGTCTGACAACAGCCACAGGCTTATGCCCCATTCTCCAATGCACTGTTGCCAGTGAGAACCTGGACTGTAAAACTTCTCCACCTTTCTGAGTTTTGTGTCTATTTCTGGATTGGTTTTGAACTTGAGAGAGGAAGTATGACTAATGATGATCCACCACCTTAAAATGTCTATGGTTCAGCTTCTCTGTGGGGCACAAGCCATGTGTCCAGATAAGTAAGACCTGGTCCCGGGCCCTGTACTCGGCTAACCAGAGAGGGTCTGGTGGGTACCAGGATGGGGGCAACTCATTTGCCTGTGTCCTAAAGACTGGGCAGGGCCTCACCAGGTGGTGAGAGGAAGGCAGTCCCCACAGGAACAGCACAGGATATACCTAAACCAGCCTGGGGTGCACTTTAATTATTCACTAAGAAATCAGCTTTGTGCTTCTAAGAGAACATTAAAGTTGACTTCAGTTTGTTCAGAGACCAGTATCAAATGACAAATTTACTGTGTGGCAATTTTTAAAAATGAGATATATTAGGCAGAACAAGGGTTGACCAAACCCTTAACCAAGCCTCCTCTGGCAGTGGTGTTGTGGGGGCCCCAGTCCCATCTGCGAGCTTTCCTGCAGTGCCTGGCAGCTCAAGGGTGACCAGCTTGTCCCTGTTTGCTGATACATGCCCCTGTGTTAGCACTGAAAGTCTCATGTCCCAGGAAAGCCCAGACAAAGTGGCCCATCAGTCCCACTGCTGTCCTGCCTACACTCTCAGGGGGTCCCACTGACCCAGTTTCCACCCTACACAATGGCCCATCTCCTCCTTGAGGAGCACACTCAGCACCCACCCTCCCTCCACAGGGGACAAGGCGCAGCCACTCCTGTGTTTATCTGGCCTTTGTGCAAAGACACGTGGCAGTGTCTACCAGAATCTGACCTGAGAACACACTGGGGTAAGGCCAGGCCCTACAAACTGTCCCAGATGGGGAGCTGAGCATTAGTGCACCAGGCTCAGAGTCAAGGCCCCTGGCCCTGTACACCCTGGTGGGGGTTGTGAGAGGTGAGCAGGCTAAGTTGGCCGGAACAGCTCTCTGGCCTGGAAAGGCCCTGGTGGTCAGCGGCAGATAGGCAGCAGTGTAGGTGGGAGGCTGGCTGGCAAGCACCGTCAAGCAGACAGGAGTGAGAGGCCAGGCTGCATCTCGCAGCCCCATGTTCTCAGCTATGGAAGGGAGATACTCATCTCACATGGGTGCTGAGAGGGAGGACCTAAGGTGCTGTTTGTCAGGCATGGGGAGCGGCGCGTCAGGAAGGCGCAGCTGGGAGAATGCAGTGCCTTGCTGAGGGCAGCTCTCATGGAGGCCAGGACCCTCCCCTGCCATCTGCCACCCTGGAGGAAACTCTGGGGCATGGAGAGACACAGCCTCCCTGTGCCCACCACCCAACCCACTGTACCCCTCCCCCCCAGTCACAGGCAGCTCCTGCTCTTGGCTCACCTGGTCCACGAGCATTGATTAAGCACCTCAGAAACCAAGCCTGGACCAAGCGCTTAGTGTAACCAGGTAGCAGCATTTGCTTTGGTTCTACTTAAATATTTGGAGCCTTGGATGCTGACACCATCCTATGCAAGGCACTGGGATACTTGGTTTTGTGGCTCAGAGAGATGTAGTGACCACCTGTCTAAACCCCTGCAGGTGGTTGACAAGTGGGAAGGCCAAGATCCAAGTCAAGAGGGGCCCCAGGACACCAAGGTGGGAGCTGGTGGGTGTGACACCTCCGACACCTCCACAGCCTCTGGGACTAGAGAGCAGGTGGGTGTGACACCTCCACAGCCTCTGGGACTAGAGAGCAGGTGAGTGTGACACGTCCACAGCCTCTGGGACTAGAGAGCAGTCGGGTGTGACACCTCCACAGCCTCCAGGACTGGGGAATGGGGGTGTGACACCTCCACAGCCTCCAGGACTGGGGATCTGGGGGTGTGACACCTCCACAGCCTCCGGGACTGGGGATCTGGGGGTGTGACACCTCCACAGCCTCCGGGACTGGGGA